GGGAACAATTTTTGATCAGCAAGAGGAAAAAAAAAAGGGAAAAACATAGTGAGCAAACTGGGGAGGCGTTTGCTGTGCGATGTCATGTTTCCTTTGCGCTGGGCTCCCCTGGTTTGGTGGGTGCTGATTTAACGCCGCATGGGTTGTGGTGGGGACCCGCACCCCGACCCCAACAGCACCTTGCTTTGGGTTCCATGTGCCAGAGCTCTGCTCTCCTCCGTGGCCTGGTTTCCTTTGACTCTTTTAATAGTATAAACTCAGTACCTCCGTCCTCTTGTAGCGCTTCCTCTCCTCCCATGGATGAGGGACTTGTGGATAAAATAAATACCCAGTTTGGGATACCCTCGGTGTTATGGGAGCAGGAGGTGACTGGGACGGAAGAAGACTATGAACCCCAGTCAGTAATGCCTGGTGGTTTGGGTTTTTTTACTGTTCACATTCCAATGTGATAGCTCAGGAGATTTTTTTTCTACAAATACCCTGTAGTCTGAGTCACTTCAGCAAAGCCAAGACTGCTTTTTGTCACCGACCGGAGTGCTGCCTTTAATACCGTCCCTTCTAGACTCAGCCTAGAGCTCAGCTATTGGCCTTGCCACAATATTTCTATACATGTTTATGTGGAGCTGCTCCCCAAGGTACTGTCTTTCCATCAGTTCAGAAATGCAGTTTGACTGCAGAGCCAAAAAATTTCCTACTTGCCAGCTTCGCTGGACTTGGACTTCCCCAACCACAGTAACCTCTCACAGCCTGGATCTCAAATCATGAAGGAACACTTCTCCCATCTCTCTGGGTGCGACCTCTCACGTACAGACATGTGGCCCGCAGGATTTTTAATCTAAGCCCGGGCAGTTCTCATGCTCATCTTCTTCATTCACCCTCATTCTCTCAAAAATACCCCGATTTTAAGTGTAACCTGAGGTCCCATAATCAATGAGGTGTGCCAGCCACCCTGGTCATACTCAGTGGCTGTGTGGCTCAGGAGTGCGCTGGTAGCACCAGTGCTTCTGAAAAGCTCATACTGGTTAAGCTCCCTTGGAGAGGGAAGGGCAGCATCTTACTCTGGTGCCATCAGATTACAAGCTGTGTCCATATCTCGCCAGGATCCATGTGGCTTTTGCCTCTCGGAGGAGGACTCTGCCGGGTCCCAGACAAAACCACTCCAGTGCTGCTGGCTCATACTGGTGCTTGTAACAGGCTGGTGTTGGAAAAAACACAGTCTGTCCTCTTCACAGTGTAACTCATGGCTGAGAGCTGGGCGGGTTGAAGAGGACTGTTGCTTCTCAGTCAGTGAAAAAAGAAAAAAAGGTTTGTTTTTTTTTTAATTTTTAATTTTCAGATCTTATCTCAACTGTCAAAATGGAGCTTGACATCCAGTGTGAGGAGATAAGCCCATCCAGATGGGCTGAACTTCTGTCCACAATGAAATCCTGCAAAACCATCAGGTAGGAACTAGTTGCCTATCATCTCTTCGACCTAAGAACTGTTGCATTTCTCTACTGTGTTTTTCAGCTGCAGAACTGTTGACTTGTGACTTAGAAATTGCACAGTAACAGGAATGATTCTACCTGTTTTTCTCCAGAAAGTTAATTTAAAGGGGGGGAAAAAACCCCACCCTCTTGCAAAGCTTTTTCAACTGCAGATAAGCATCCTTTGGTATGAAGTAATGCTGCCCTCGTTCTATGGTGTGCTGTAGAACTCAGGTAGGTGCTGTGGTTATTTAAACTGTTTTGGTAATTCTGTCTTTCTCCCTCAAGAGAGGGAAGACATCTCTGTGCTTCTTAGGTTGCATGCTCTCTGGGCTGCAGGTCAGATGCTGTCGAGTAACTGTTAATAGTCATGCACAAGCCACAGGCCATCAACATTTAATTCTTCACTTGGCCTTCAAAAGTGTTTTGAGCAAACCAGCGTGAGGGAACCGTCTCCTGGAACGTAAGCAGTAGGACAGGGTTCAGAAGAGTTGCTTCCTTCATCTCCTCTGGTTGGGAATTCACACCACAGGGGCTGGCATCATCTTGCTGGGGCTGGAGAGGATGGGCCACGTCCATCCAGTGACGGCTTGGAGATGGTCAGGCAGGTTGAAAGTGACTTGCTTTTGTTTTGCAGAGGAGCTTCTTACAGGCAAGCTTCCTGGGCCTGACCTTGGGTGGCAGAAGGCAGTGGGATGGTTGTCTCCTGGGAAGAGGCTGGGCTGCTCAAGACACAGGGGATGAGTGGGGCTGTGGCAAGGATTGTTAATCCATGTTGAACATGATCACATTGGGAGCCAAGTCATCTTGCCAGAAGGAAGGAAGGAGAAGCCTGCTAGAGCTTCAGTTCTCATGGTGCTGTCTAAGGAGAAATGACCAGGCAGTTGGAGCTGTGGCTGTACCTGGGCCTGTAGGCTTCTTCGTGGCACCTTCCTTTTGCCCCATGTCTTTTCTGCTTCCCTGTACACCTCCGCCTGTCCTGGGCTCCTGGTTCTGCCCTTGGCTCTCCTTCCAATTCAACTTTTTCCCCAGGACAATTTAGCAACACCTAGAAAAATGCTGATGTCTGGTGGGAGAAGACACTGCCACACTGTGAACTCAGTTTGTGTTCGGAGAGTCACGCCAGAGAGAGACGGTGCAGACCAGCCTGACTCACCTACACGAGACCAAACTGCTGATGGGTGTCTCTGGGGCCGGCTGGAGACCCAGCCTGGCTGGTCTCTGTGCAGACCCAGTGGGACAGCCTGTGAGCCAGCCTCTGGCTAGATGTGGCTTCAGACACCAGGTAGTTTGTCACTATCAATGAAGGTACATCCTCCAGCTGAAGCCCTGCCAAGGGGGGGTGACTTGAGTCGTCCTCTTCTGCTCAGCATGGAGGAGATCCATGGCTTGGGGAACTGCCCCTCCTGTACTGCAGCACTGCTGAGAGGGCACATCTTGGTTTGGGCTGTGCATCGCCCACCAGGCCACACAGATACTTATGGAGGTGTCCCAGGGACTGCAGAGGAGAAAATCACCCATGTTGCTTTCACAGGGAATCACAGAATCCCAGAGTTGCATCAATTGGAAAAGCCCTTTAAGATCATCGAGTCCAACCATGAACCCAACACTGACAAGTCCCCGACTAACCCATGTCTCTCAGCACTATGTCTACACGACTCTTCAATCCCTCCAGGGATGGGGACTCCACCACTGCCCTGGGCAACCCCTTCCAATGCCTCAGAACCCTTTCAGCAAAGAAATTCTTCCTCACATCCCATCTCAACTGCCCTGGGCACAACTTGAGGCCATTTCCTCTTGTCCTGTAACTCACCCACCTCTCTCCACCCTCCTTTCAGGGACTTGGACAGAGCCAGAAGGTCTCCCCTCAGCCTCCTTTTCTTCAGGCTCAACAACCCCAGTTCCCTCAGCTGCTCAGTGCTCCAGCCAAGGAGAACAGAGCAACCTTGAGGACTAAAGTGCTCCTTCTCTCCTTCTCTTTCAGGCTGGATGACTGCAATCTCTCCAGCAGTAACTGTGAAGAGCTCTCCTCCGTCATCAATAAAAATCCATCCCTCACAGAGCTGAAGCTGAACAACAATGAACTGGGAGATGCAGGCGTTGAACACCTGTGTAAAGGGTTGCTGATGCCAAGCTGTAGCCTGCAGAAATTATGGTAAAGCCCCATTGATTGTCTTGCTCTAACATGCTTGCTGTCTGCTGCAGGTCACGTCATGAGGCAGATGAGTACGTGATGGTGGTAAGAGCTGTGCCGCTGCATCCCAGCCGTTACCTGGGTCAGGTGGTTGGAAAACCCCAGGAGTTTTTATCTAAGTGGTTTATTTATTGGAAGACTCCAGACCATCAGTCTGTCTTCCATTGTCTTCCAGCATGGAGGGAAGGACAGGTAGGGTTTTCCCAGCTGAGCAAAGGCTTTCTGAAGGCTTTCTTTAGAAGAGCTATCAGATCTTCCCCTGAACTAGGCAGCTGGATTATCTCTTTAGGCCAGTTTAAACAAAAGGGTGACCACAGAGGGCTCCACTCTGCCATTTTTCAGAGGGTTCTTCTGCCAGCTGTAAGCACAGCATTTTGTGTCTGGTCCAGTTTGCTCACTCCTTTCTCTAGGAGCCAAGCACAAGGGTGTTCTCAAGAGCCTTCACATTTCAAGAGTTGACAGTCTTTCTGCACTCTGCCAGACTAGCTGTACCTCAAGCCTTGTCTTCTCAGTTGGGTGGGGCCAGCTTGCTTCAAGACAGCATCTTTTGCAAAGGCCCCAGCAACATGTTAGAGCATTAGTGGGCTTCCCTCAGCAAGCATGGTGCAGGAGCTTCACTCAAAGCCAGTGGCTGCTGCCCCTGCTCCTCAGTGACCCTCAAAGAAGTGCTACCTTCTCTGTCCAGCATCTCTTCTGCAGGGTACTGGAGTCCTCCAGCTCCTGAGGTGGGTCTAGGGTCTTCATGACACTACCTTGTAAAACTAATTTGCCTTTTAGATCAGATTTGCCTGCTTCAAAGTGCCTGTGCCGCCGCAATGAGGCCTCGCTGACAAATAGAGGAAAAGTTGACTGTGAAGCTAGTCAAACCACAACTCTCTGATGGGCCTTCAATCATGGTACTCTGTACTGGAAGACTAACACAAGGAATTTTTCAGAGAGTTTGTCCTAAGCTTCAGACTTCTCCAGATGCTCAAGTGACATCCTGGATTAGGCTGTTTCAGTTCTGTAGAAACATAATTGTCCATTTTTGGGGTGCCTTAGGGAATAAAAGAGCAACCAAAGCCAAGTCAATCTTAGTACCACCATGCACAACATGTCTCTGTTGCCAGTGAGTCTTGTCTGATAATTCTAAACACCCTGTAGCAATTCCAACACCGTGCCTACGCTACTTTTCCCACTGTGAGTGCTGAAGGATCAGTTTATTGATACCATTAAACTTCTAAATGATATTCAAGAATTTCAGTCAAGTGAGATTTTTACTTTGAGCTACTCTGGATCATATTTCCAGAGGGGTCAAGAAATCATAAGATGCCATTGCTTTATCTCTGGGGATTAGAACACTTCCGTAGAGCAGCTGCGGTGCTACTGAACGTAGGGTGGATCCTTCTTCTTCTGCTAGAGGTGCTGTGTGAGTGATTACACTGAAGGAAGCGTGGGAGCTCTTGTTCGTGCTACAGCTATAATGCTAGCTGATAAAATATTTCATCACACCTAGCAGTGCTGACCTGGACATACCCCTTTCTAGAGGGTTATGCACTGTCAGTGCCATGGTGTGTGTTCCAAGCTCGAACCTCAGCAGATGCACCTCACTGAGAAGAACCTCCATAATTCTGGGGGTGCATTTCTCTCACCCTGGTTGCCTCTGTCTTTCAGGCTGCAGAACTGCAATCTGACGAGCGCCAGCTGCGAGACTCTCCGCTCTGTCCTCAGCACACAGCCGTCCCTGACAGAGCTGCACGTGGGTGATAACAAACTGGGAACTGCTGGAGTGAAGGTGCTGTGTCAAGGCATGATGAACCCCAACTGTAAGCTGCAGAAGCTACAGTAAGTAGTCATTTTGGTCATCAGACAGGTCATACTTGTCTTTCCCTTGAGACAAGCAGGAGTTGTGTTGCAAGATGTAGATTTCTTCATGTTTTGTCTGAAATTGTGTCATGCTTATTCACGCTGGTAAGTCTCATGGGTTGGTAAGAGTTGGGTGTCTGTTCTCACAGGCTTTGTTCAGCACTCCTGGCAGTGGTGGCTGGTAACACAGGACCTCTCAGACATCCAGGGAGAGTCTGATTCTGTGGCATTTGGTCTTTGTTTTAGGACTGAGTAGGACCCAGGACTGTTTGCAGCCCCAGCTCCTCCTGGGCAGGCTCGGTGGCAAGGCAATGCAAAACTCAGGCGTGTGTTCTGAGGCAGCCTGCACGTTGGTTTAACGGGAACTGGTGTAAAAATGGGGTGGGGAATTAGTCTTGCTGGGGTCCCCTGGGGTCTAGTTTAAGAATTAACACTTCCTGAAATGAGCAGGGAGATGCTGTTAAAACCCTTACATTTATCTCTGTTTTCACGTGCTGCCCGGTCTCAGCTCACATTGGCACGTTTTCTGCCGTGACTAACACACACTTTGCCCAGTTGATGTCCTGTGGGTAGCAGGACATTAAGATGGTTGGTTTTTCCCCTGGATTTCTTTTTTTTTCCCTCACAGGCTGGAGTATTGCGAACTGACTGCTGATGTTGTGGAACCTCTCAATGCTGCTCTGCAAAGCAAGCCCACCCTGAAGGAGCTGAGCCTGAGTAACAACACGCTGGGAGATACGGCTGTGAAGCAGCTCTGCTGGGGACTGGTGGGAGCAAGCTGCAACCTTGAGTTACTACAGTAAGGAAGAGCTGATCACCTCTAACTGCAGCTAGTCCTGCTGCTAGTCATACCATCCACAAGACAGGAAAAATTATTGGCAGGAATGTGTGAAATTTAGGCCAATTTTTTTTCTGTCTCGTATTTCTGTAAATGGAAACGACAAGCAAATGTCTGGGGCTTTCAGGTTTGGGATTTTTTTGATTATTTTTTTTTTAGCGTGCAAGTCTGAGCTCACTCTTAATGCCTGTGGGTACAGCATGAGCATATACCCCAGGTTAAACCTGCAATTAAAGGAAGTGACTGCTCACCAGTATCTGAGCCCAGAGGAGCAATTGCCCTCAGTGGCTCCAGTTCTTACACCTGAAGTACCAACCAGCTCAGTGTGTGTATTCAGATCCCTTTTGTGCTTCAAAACAGGAATCCCAGAATCCCAGAATTGCCCTGGATTGGAAAAGCCCTTTAAGATCATTGAGTCCAACCATGAACCCAACACTGACCAGTCCCCGACTAACCCATGTCCCTCAGCACTGTGTCTACACGACTCTTCAATCCCTCCAGGGATGGGGACTCCACCACTGCCCTGGGCCAGATTTGTCCTCATATTAGGGGCGAAGCCCCTGAAGGGGCGTAGGGGAGAAGCACGATTTGTTTTGCCTTGCCCCTGTGCTTCAGCAGGGGTTGGCTGCCAGGGACTCGCTGTGTGATACAGCCAGAAATTCCTCTTAAAAAGGACAGTTGATATAAAGGGGGAGTTTGGCAAAAAAGATCCTTGTGTTGATGGATGTGAATGGCTGGGTCAGAGGAAAAGTGCCCTGCAGCCTCATGGAATGCAGGAGTGTGTGTTCCCTCACCCAGAACCCATCTAGGATGCCTGTATCATCTCAGCCTTGTAGGGTCTAGCAACGTCCAGCTGAGCTGCACTGGTTTGCAGCCAGGAACCAGCTCATGGCCCCTTCTGGGTTTAAACTGGGGTGTTGAGGTGGATCTAACACAACAACTCCAACTGTGCTTTGTCCTGCAGCCTGGAGAACTGTGGCATAACCAGCGATAGCTGCCGGGAGATCAGCGCTGTCCTCAGTAACAAGCCCTCACTGATCGATCTCTCCGTGGGGGATAACAAGATCGGGGACTCCGGTCTGGCTCTGCTCTGCCAAGGACTCATGCACCCCAACTGCCAAATCCAGAAGCTGTGGTAAGGGGAGGCAGAGATTACTGAAATGACTTAGATTACTTCACTGGCTTCCTCTTGCAGGCGCTGAGCTGTGTGCGTTGTGCTGATGGTTTGCTCCTAGGCAGAGGGTTTCTCAGTTACACCCCCTAGTGAAACAGGAAAGTCTCTGCTGCAAATTATTTCTCAGAACTGGATGGAGGACACTGTGAATGAGCAGGACCACCCTGAAGTTGCTCGGATCAAATTCTGGGAAGAGGGTGAATGGAAATTTGTGATGGCATTGTCTTGAGTTGAGTTATCTGGCTACTAGAATTGCATGTTCCTATTCCTTTTTTTTGTGTTACAAACAGAGCTTTTGGTGCCACAAATGGAAAGGGAGGAGAAAGCTCAGTGGTGTGATGCATGAACAGGTTTTGTAAAGGACAGGATAAAATGAGATGATGTAACCAGAATTTCAGAATACTGAAGCAGGACTGTCTTTTCTAATCTAAATCATTCTGGGGGGAAAATAATATTTTGTTCTTCCCTGCAGGCTATGGGACTGTGATCTCACAAGTGCTAGCTGTAAAGATCTCTCCAGACTCATCAGTATGAAAGAGACCCTCACAGAGATCAGTCTGATAGACAATAACCTCAGAGACTCGGGGATGGAAATGCTGTGTCAGGCACTCAAGGATCCCAAATCTAAACTCCAGGAACTATGGTGAGCTGCTGTCAAGGTTCACATACCCACTGCCTTCTTTGGAGACCTCACTGGAGAAAGATGTAGATGAAGCAGTGCCCACCAGATAGATCCTCAGTTGCCATGGTTCCACTAACAACTCGTGCCGGTTGTTACCTAAAGGATTTAGATTTACAGAGCTAAAGGGATTTGTGTTTCTAAACTTGTGACCACTTTGAAGATCTGCCCCATAGTCATCCTGTTATAAGCATTAGGAGACCAAGCATCACTTGCAGAGCTTCTGTCTAATGTATTTTCTCATGCAACAAATGGCAGCTAAGAGACCTTTGAAATTTGAAGGGCCTCGTGTAATAGCAAAATGAGTGCTGTGGTCAGATAGCTCTGGTTCTCCTTTGGATCCAGGCTCTCTCATTGATGAGCCAAAAGAAGGTCCTATAGACATGAACCATTCTCAGCACCCTCTCTGCTGGCATCATGACCCTTTGGGCTGGGATGGTCTGGTATCAGGTGGTGGGGAGAGGAAAATTGTTCTTCCACATAGAACTTCAACAAGCAGGACTTGAACATTCCCTACATTGCAAGTTCAGCTCCTGCCCCCTGCCCTGGTGACCTGGGAGTTGATGAGGTGCCTCAGGAGTGCTTGGTGGAGATGATTGTGACTGTGAGAGCAGCACGCTTCCTCTCTGATCCTTCTTCATGGGCAGGTGGCTTTCCTGGGTGCACGCTCTGAGACAGACACCCCAAATATAGAGAGTGGGAGAGGTGCTGCTTAGAAAGGGTTGAGTAGATAGGGTACAGTGACTGTGGGAAGGCTTTGGTTCCTGTGTTCCCACTGTCCAGGCTCCTGTGAAGCAAACGTGAAGAAGCGAACAGTGTCTGATACTCTCTGGATCTCCCATCTAGATCTCGTTTCCCTTTTGCTTTGCAGGATTAGGGAGTGTGGGCTCACAACTGCGTGCTGCAAGGCCGTCAGCTCTGCTCTCAGCGTGAACAAGCACTTGAAAGTGCTGCACATGGGCGAGAACAAGTTGGGAGATGCAGGTGTTGAACTGATGCGTGAGGGGCTGCTGCACCCCAACTGCAACATCCAGTCCCTATGGTAAGGTGCACCCTCAGAAGTCATCTTCTATCTTGTGTTACCCCTCCAGGAACGGCGTGCAGAAAGAGGAGGTAGCAATAGATGATAACATGGTATTTTTTTGCTCATACAAAACAATTCACACCACAAACTGGTGTTTAACTAGTCCACTAGCAAGGAAATGGAAGCCCACAAGTTCTTCCATGTATCTTCTGTGCCATTCTTGGTCTCTTGCAAGTACCAGCTGTCACCCATGTGATGGTGCCTTCTTAGCTGTCCACTGGTGCTCTCCCAGGTGCAGAACTGAAAGTTCACAGTGCAGGATCTAAAGCAAAGTGTGGGGAGACTGGAGGGATCTTGCTTTGTTCTGTGAGCAGCTCACCATAGAGCTTCCCATGCCCTTCTCTGAACTCGGCCACTGGGCCTCATGTGGGACACTGCTGGGCCAGGTCTGGTGTGGTAATTCCTGTGCCTGCCCATCACAGTGCAAAACCCACCTGAATTCCCCAGTTGTCTTCTGCTTTCCGTAGTTTCTATGGGTGCCAGCACAAGTGCTGGTCCAGCCTCACCAGTAGGAGCAGGAGGCCAGCTGGAGCATCACCTCCAGCCCTGGGGTGAGATTTGCCTTCCCCATCTCCTGTTCCCTTCTCAGGTGGGAACCAAGCTCTGGTGTGGCTGTGGCCTGCATGATGCTTGTCCCCTCCACGCTATTTGACAGGAGCTGGAGCTGTGCTTCTATGCCTGAGTTGAGCAGATGAGTCATGGGAGACATCAGTAAGACTTGAAGTCTTTGCCCAGAAGGATATGTCTGCTGACCAGTTGAAGCTGGGAGGTTCTCATCTGAGGGACCTCAAAGTTGACCTTTTTAGAGACATGGCCACAAGTCTCAAGTAATGAACTTTGGAGATGATTTATGATCCGTTTAAACCAAAGAGAAGATTGTGCATGATGTTGAAGTTGGGAAAATCTTCTTAGGGTTTCTTCTCCCTCTGTAGCCACACACTGTTAAGCATCAGGGAGAACTTTTAGGTGTTCAGCAGTCACCATGAGGATGGCTGTCTGTGGGAAGACCACGGAACAGCCACTGCTGATGTCTCAGAGATGCCAGCCTAAGGGAGTCTCTGGCCCATGCTAGGGGTGTCCACACCTGCTGCCTGAGTGTGGACTGGTCTCTGGAGCCACCACTGACTGCACTGGCCTCTTCCTCCTCTCCCTGCAGGCTGGGTAACTGCGATCTCACGGCAGCCTGCTGTGCCACCCTTGCCACCATCATGGCCACCAAGCAGTGCCTTACTGAGCTGGACCTCAGCTACAACTCTCTGGAAGATGAAGGCATCAGGAAGATCTGTGAAGCCTTGAGGAATCCCAGCTGCAACGTGCAGCAGTTAATGTGAGAGATGTTTCTGGTCCTGCTTGCGTTCCCCCTGGCAGGTGGTGAGCTCCAGCGAGCTGGGGGCTGTGGGGAGGGGGCCATGAGCACTGGCTCTCTGGAGATCACACTTGAGGGCAACTGGTGACCCAGGGAGGCTCAAATACCATCTGCATGTTGCAAAACACTCCTTGTCCCTTCCACATGATGTGACCACAGTGCCTTGATCTGCTTTGGTCCATAGGGCCCCAGAACAAGGAGAAGGTGATGCTGGGGAGGGAGTAATCAGGTTCTGTGCTGTGAGGCATGTTCCTGGCTGTTGGGCCAGGCTCTCCTACCTAGACAGCACCCTTCCAGTTTTTGAGCTTCCCATTTGTGCATCTTGCTCTTCCCTTAATGGGAGGGTGCTCACTAAACCAGCTTGTCTTTCTGTTTGGGTGCAGTTTGTATGACATTTTCTGGAGTTCCGAAGTAGATGATGAACTGAGAGCCCTGGAAGAGTCCAGACCTGAAGTGAAGATCATTTCATGAGTGGTGACTGCTTGCAGAGCAACATCAAAGCAACATCTTCTTCTTAATCAGAACTTTTAAATATGTAAAGCTAATTAACTGAATAGAGAATTTCCTTGTACCAAAACCGTTTGTGGATTCCCTGAGTGGGTGTCCAGGGAGTTGATCCACCTTCTCTGCATCTCTGGATGTACTGGCTCTGACGCTCATGAAAGCGTTGCAGATTTTCACTACAGCATTACTATCCTTGAAATAAACACTTACTGGGCATCTTCTAGAAGTGGGTCTCTACCCTTTAGGAGCTCTTTAATCCTATAATCCCTTCTAATGCATTAGTCAGGCTTTAACGAAAGCTCCTTTCCAAAGGCAGGAGGAGAACTACCTACTGTGTTATTACTGGGTGGTGCTTTTGCCAGGTCTCTGGGGAAGGCTCTCTAAAAAAAAAAAAAAACCAAAAAAAACACCCAAATATTTTTTTAATCTAACATGCAGCTTTCTCTAGGCAGTTTCCCTAGAAGAGTTCTTGGAAAAGCAGTGGTGGTCAAGGCACTAGAGAAGAAAGAAATGAGCTGCGTAACTTCAAAATTGGTTTCCCTTGAAAGTGATTTTCCTACACGCAAAACATGCAGTGTGCATTGCTGCTAGGGTGGGAAATGGCTAAATGGTTCGATATGTTTGCTCTGGCAAGAGTGTTTCTACAGGAACTTTATTAAAGTCTGTTTGCAAACAATTAAATGCTTCATTTTTCTATTTATAAAAATAAAAATGAGATATATCTGTATATTTCTCCTTAAAGGCCAATCCATCACTTCTGAACTATTAATACCTTGCTTTACATCTTTGCTTTTGGTAAGTTCCTAGCTGAAGAATGTCAGGACAAAGCCTTAGGTGGACATCAAGCCTCGAAGACATTCCCCTGGTTTCAGGGGACAGTGACTGGGTTTTCTTGCCCAGTCAGAGATTTAATAAACCTTGTTCCAAGGGAAAATGCAGCTGTTGCACACCTGAAACACGAAAGGATAAATGTAAAAATGGAGGAGACAAGCCTGGCATCACCCTTGGGTGGCCTTGCAGGAGAAATGCTGAAAAAAATCCTATTGCCCAACATGTCTCTTTCTAGAGTGGTCACTTGGTGTTTCAGTCACTTGCAAATCCTGCCTGGGCATCCCAGTCAGAGGTGTCCTCCAGGTTCTGGCTTGTGATGCCCTCACGTTCATCCTGTGGAAGCTGTAACTGGCTTTGCCTTAAGGAAAGCTTTGGCCTAAGCTTAGTTCCTACAGTAGCCTTCACAAATCTCAAGTGGTGCCCGTGAAGTACCTTACTTGTGTCTTCAGGCAGGTGTGAAGGATAGGATTTGTTTCTTTCTCAACACACATCTCTTGATGCTGCCAAAAATGCTAAGAACCACGCTCCTTTTGGCTTCAAGAGCTATTTGGTCTTCTCCATCCAGGGCAGAAGCAGTTCTTGTGTTCAGAAACCTGCCCATCCTGAAGGGCTCTTAAATTGGCTCTTCACACTCATGGTCTCTCCTGGACTTGGTGTGCATGGGCTCATTTCAAGTTGGGGGAGAAGTTGGGGCTGAAGAGAGGCAAGAGCACATGTAGGAAGAGCCACAAAAATCAGGCATCTGGCTGGGGGGAAAGGCAGTGCTCTAACAAAATTAAGCAAATATTAGAAGTGGATTTCTGAGAGTACCTGGTGTGGTGGGTAGATGACCATGTCTGAGAGGGAAGTGGAGGTGCTCCTGGGCTGCTCCCAAAGCAGGTTGTGGTCAGGCAGGTTGAAGGTGTGATAGTTCGCAGGTCCACCCAGGATGGAGAGGAACCTGTGCACTCAGACCATGTACTTGGCTCCAAAAATCAGATATAAATCCTGGGATCCAGGAGCAAGCCACCGTAGCAAGAGAAACTTGTGCACATGAAGAAGACTCAAGCGAGGATTTGTATTCCTAAAAACTCATCTGGTTTTATTCAGCTATCAGTTGGTCCAGCTCATTTCCCTGACAAACCTTGTCACAACCTTGAACTGGGAGAGTTGAAAGACAGAGAAAGCTGCTCCTGCATTTTAGTTGTGTTAGTTTATTTTAAGATAAAAGGAGCAGGAACTGAGTCACAAATCTTTCCTGAGGACTAGATCTGAGCCCTGCAGTCAAAGCCTTGCTCATACAAAGTCCACAGCTGGAGCACGCAGCAGCTCTGGGATGTCACACTCATGTTCTGGTGCTCAGTCAGGGCAAATGGTTGGACTCGCTGTACCAGTGGTTTCCAAATACTGACTTTCTACTAGGAAGGGTTGAGTTTCACCTACTATAATGCAGCTTAAAGATAAAATTATCCAGCCAAAATAGAAGGTTAAGAAATCCAGGTCTGACTTTCAGTTTTAAGCAAATACTAGAAGTTTACAAACCATGCCCCTTGAGACCAAACAACAGAACTTCCATCTAGAGAGAGTGGGTTTGTATTTTAGATCTCAGTAACAGCAACAGTGTTAAAACTTCAGGTTTCTGCTCGTGGTTTAGGATTCTGCAATAAACTTAATTTTTTTACTGATCACAGCATATGACCTCAAGCAGGGAGGTCACAGTGTTCCAGTTACTGCTGCCAGAACCAGTTAAACAAACATTATTGGTCGTGCAAACAGGTTATACCCCAATTAAATCTGCTCCTTGCTTTGGCAGAGCATCATGTCCTGGCTGCCCTGCCATCCCTGACTGCTCTCCCTGGAGCCTTTTGGGAAGGAGCTCCAGCACAGCAAGGCCCCAGCTCCAAACCCTACAGATGCTAACAGCAATTTCAGTGCTCCCATTGGATCTGAAAGGGGAAATCAAGCCAACTACGAAGAGTGAACTTCAAAGAGTTAACCACAGCACCCTGCTTTCTTTGACAACAGTGTCTGCCATCTGAGTCACTCCCAATCCTCTACTAAAATAGTCTGAAAGGGAGTTACTTCTCAGCTGAATTCCCCTTTTGCAGAGAAAATTATCATTTTTATTATCATTACCAACATATCTCTTCCTTTCTATGTGCTTAGTCCTCCCCAGCACCTTCTTTTCATTTCAGCTCTTTTACCCAAGGGGAAAATACACACTGACAAAAAAAACCCCACAAAAACTAAGGGGGAAAGTCCCTCTCCCTATAAGGCAAGAAGAGTTTTGACCTGCTTACCCATTCCCCTGCTCACAGCTCCGAATGAACCATGGACATCTTGCATATCTCCTCCTGGGGCACATCACAACCCCCTCCTTCCTCACTTCTCCCACTCATCTGGCCCCCGTACCTTAAATACCAACCAGGCAAAGCCATTCCCATCTTGGCAAGGGCTCGCAAATTGGCAGGTTCATGCAGGTGTGAGGTTAATCTGCCTCTCTCAGCTACAGGCAGCTGCATCCACCGAGGGTGGAAAGGCAGATACTGGCA